TCACCCCCTGATCCTTCCCCGACACCCCCTCCCTCTGTGTGTGTGTCCCCCCCTAAAAAAAAACCGTAACAGGCGCTGAACAAGAAGCACAGGGAGTGCGAGAGCCCGGAAGGGGATGAAGTGTTTGCGTTGACCCCACAGACGGAAGAGAAATATAAAAAGATTGATGAGGAGTTTGATAAAATGATGCAGAGTTACCGGCTCGCAGTGAGTAGCTGGTGGTCTGCAGCCTCCCCCCTCAGAAAAACCTCCCCGGGTGCCTCCCGGGCTGGGGAAGAGGGCGGTTGGGTTTTGCATGGCTTTGCTTCGGAGCCGTGCCGTGGGAGCCGATGCGCCCAGCTTCTCCCCCTGGCCCCCTGCACCCCGGGGTGATGGGGGGAGGCACGAAGGGCCTCGAAGGTCTCTCGTGTTTCCCACCCGGAGAGGCAGGATAGACCCTGGGGAAAAGAAAAACCACAATAATTCCATTAGCTCTGCATCCCTGACCCTCCTTGGGATGTTTTTCCCCCCCAAAAAAAGACTTTTGCCTGGGTTAAGAGCCCAGAGAAAGAGGATATTGCTGCTCTCCCTTCCTTTTCCACAAATACTGGGTTAGGGCCTCCTTTTTCACCATTTTTCCTCCCAAAAAAAGGCTTTTTGCCTGGGTTAAGAGCCCAGCACGGGAGGACACTGCTGGTCTTCCCTCCTTTGCCGCAGATACTGGGTTAGGGCCTCCTTTTTCACCATTTTTACTCCCAAAAAAAGGCTTTTTGCCTGGGTTAAGAGCCCAGCACGGGAGGACACTGCTGGTCTTCCCTCCTTTGCCGCAGATACTGGGTTAGGGCCTCCTTTTTGACCATTTTTCCCCAAAAAAGGATTTTTGCCTAGGCTTAGAGCCCAGCACAGGGGGATATTGCTGCTCTCCTCTCCTTTACTTCAAATACTGGCTTAGGGCCTCCTTTTTCACCATTTTCCTTCCCCAAAAGGATTTTTGCCTGGGCTAAGACCCCGGCGTTCATGCGAGCTGGCAGCCCCTCGCATCCCTACAAGCCTCACCCCGGTTTGGGCTGTTCTGCCTTAATTCCCCCCAAATCCACCGAGCCCCCGGGGCAGCTGGTGGCCGTGGCAGAAATCCAGGGAGGTTTTAGCCTGTGATCCCGGAGCCGTCACCGTCACCGGGGTGGCATCAGGACAGCACTGAAAGGGATTTGTGTCAGGAGATGGGAGGAGGAGGGGGACACGTTTCAAATTAGTTGTTAGTTCAAGGGAGCAGAGACTATTGATGTAGGCAAGGCTTCTTCGGAGGGATTAGCCCCGCGTTGCTGCAGCCGTAATTAATGCTGCCAGGAGCAAAAGGAGGCTCGTTTTCAAGGGCTGCAAAAAATCCCCCCCCCCCAAAGAAATAATCTGCCCTTCCGTGCTTTGCAAGCCCCCACAAGTTAAAATCGTGGCTTTTCCTGAGAACTGACTCAGCTCCGGGAGCCTCCCGAAGACCCCAAAATCTGCATCTCGGGGTGGGGAGGTGAAGCAAAATGGGGTGCGGGCGACGAGGGTTGCTTGCGGCTCTGCTGCGACAGCAAGCCCAGCCTTCCAGGGAGGGTTTAGTTGCAGGATTAGCTCCGTTGAGGCTTGGCTCTGCCTTGTCCTCCTCGAGATTCCTCCCTGGTTTCACTAGCGGGGGGCAGGTTTGCACCCCCTCGCGGCTCGCAGGGCGTGGGGGTACAACCGTGGCGCCTTGCCACCGGTGCAGAGTCAGTCGAAAAGCCAGCAGAGCTTCCTCCTCGGTGCAGAACGAGCAGGGGCTGCTTCGCCTCCGTGT